CACTTAGGGCAGCAGTTCTCAAACTGTGGGTTGTGACATCTTTGGGGGTCAAATGACCCTTACACAGGGGTCATCTAAAAGCATCGGAAAACATAGATCTTTACATTATGATTTATTACAGTAGAAAATTACAGATATGGAATATCAACAAAAATAATTTAATTGTTGGGGGTCACCATAGCATGATAAATTGTATGAAAGGGTCACAGCATTGGGGAGGCTGAAAACTACTGATTTAGGACTTTATTCCTAAGGAAGTCTGATTTCCCCTCCTTAGCAGTAAGTAATTAATTACCTACAGTCCTTCATTTAGGGGTGGAGTCCTATGAAATTTCCAGCATCAGTGCTTCTGGTCTATCTGTGTTGTCATTGTATAAGTCTTGTTTAGGCAACCATTTTGTTAAGATGTCATAGGTGCAGCCTCTCTGTCATATCTAGAAGATACTATTTTTGCAGCCTGTATCCTGGTTCTCCATCTAGTTTTTATAATGTTCCTGGTGTCTTTTTTATAATTTTTCCTGAGTTTAGGGTATGGTTACCCCATGGTCAATTGGTTCTCTTCATTTTAACTAGTTATGTCTCGCTGTAATGGTTTCACCATCTTTTGGGGGGTAAAAAGAAGCTTCTTTGATGAGAGCTAAGAGCTATGCATCTCAGTGGGTATAAGCATCAACTACTTAGAATGCAGTTAGTGTATGCTGGTTTCAGAAAGTGGCAAGAGTAGGTTCTCCTCTAGGTTCCATGACTTCTCCACTCATGGTTACTTGGCTAGGTTTAGAGTACTGAACATTAATTCTTTCCCATTGAGCAGGCTTGAGTCCAATTAGACAGCCAGCCATTGGTTACTGCTAATAGAGAAATGCTAATATGGTTGGGATTTCTAAGCATCCCAGCTGGGTAAGAGTATATTGATTGCTTTTCTCCCTTGGTAGCTTGAGTGCCAGTCCTCAGGGAGGAGGCTTCCAGGTCAATTTGCAGCCCAGTTTCTCCCTGTCTTGTGTTTGAATTATGTGGTGTCTTCAGCAATATGGATTTAACTGTCAAATTCTGATGGGGAAGCAAGGGTAATGACAGTAGCTGTTTGGTTTTGGGAGGTGTCTTGGACTCTTCTTACTAATAGATAATTCAAAGGACGTTTCTCATATCTGGTACTAGGATTTTGGTTATATAGACTATGGTTCTAGACTAATAACTCTTCACTTTATAAATTCTTTATATAATCTGGATATTAATCCCCGATCAGATATGTATCTGGCTAAGATCCTCTCTTACTCTCTCACTCTATGGGTTTCCTCTTCACTCAATTTATGGCCTCCTTTGTTGTAAAGAAGCATTTTTTTTTATTTTTTAGGCCTTACTACTCAAGTGTTGCCCTTAATTAGATTCCACATTAAGGTTTTTTAACCATTGTTAGTTAATATTTGTGCAGGGTTCTAGATACGGGTCTACTTTTGTTCTTCTGAATGTGGACACCCAGATTTTCCAGCACCATTTGTTGAAGATGCAGTCTTTTCTCTAGTATGTGTTTTTGACATCTTTGCTATGATCTACATTGAGATCATATTTCCTCCTGCTCTAATTCCTCTTCATACATACCCGCCTTTCTTGAAACGAGGTCTTGCTATATTGCCTATACTGGACTTAAATTCAGCATCATCCTGTCTAAGCCTTCTAACTGCTGGGATTACAGATATGATCCACCATGCCTGCTTTGTTTTTGTTCATTTTAATTTGTGGTATTAGAAATAGAAAATAAGCTAGCTTTAAATATTATTCACAGCTATTCCAATGATTTCACAGTATTTGCTGAATGTGTTGAAAACACTCTTATTTCTTCAATGAACTGACTTTGCACCTTGGTTGACTCAGTTGATAATGTATGTGTGGTTCTATATTTAGGTATTTTGATATCTTATTTATATAACCTTTGGATGATACTTTATATCCTGAAAACTATAATTTTATTTTAAGTCTTTTACATCTTTCTTCTTCAAAATTATTTTGGTTCTTTTATTTACTTTCACTTCTCATATAAATGTATTAATAGAATCCCACCTTTTTAAAAATAAAATATTCTGTTGGTACTTTTTTTGAGACAGGGTCTTACTATGTAGCCCCGGCTAGCATAGAACTAACTATATAGACCAGGCTGACCTTGAACTGCCAGAGATCCACCTGCCTCTGCATGCAATCTGTTATTTACTTTGGGGAGAATGGAGACCGTAAAAATATTTATCTGCCAATCTACAAACACTATAAATTTATCTAACCTTTAGGCCGTCATTGCTTTTCTTCCAGCAACATATTATAGATCTCTTGGTGTGAAACTTACATATGCTTTGTTAGATGTGTACCTCTGAAGGTTCATGTTTGGGAGAAGTTATTGTAAATATTTTATGTACTAATTGTAGTTCATTTGCCTTCATCTCCTTTTGAGACAGTGTGTCACTTTGTAGTACAGGCTGGAAGTTTCCTGCAATCCCTATTCCACACGTGTAAGGCATGAGCTGCCATACTCTGTCAAACTTCAATTTCTCTTTACTATAGAACATGTAAATATGGTTAGTCTTGAATCTTACAGACTTGCAAAATTCTCTTACCATTCATAACAACATTTTAATAGATTGGTGAATTTTTTTATTGAAAATGACATCTGTAAATACTTTAATTTTTGCTTTGCATATTGAAAACGTTTTGGAAGTGCTTTCCCTGGCTAACATTGGAAAAACAGGCATCATTGTTTAATTCTCAGTCCTAGGGAAAAATAATTCAATTTTTTGCCATGAAAGAAGCATAATGTCAGCCACAGTTTTTTGGTTTTGGTTTAAGTTTTAGATGCCATGGATGAGATTGAGGAAGTTATCTTCCTAGTTTTCTAAGAGTTTCTGTCATGGCTAAATGTAACATTTTGTCAGATTCAGGTCCTAAGTCTTTAGCAACAATGATATGCCCCCTTTGGTGTGTAAACATATTTAATTACATCAATGATGCATGATGTTATATTGTAGTGCATGAGGAACTAGCCTTCAATTTCCAACACAAGCCCCACTTGCTCATAAACTGCTATTCTTTCAATATCATATTAGACTTAATTTGCACCAGTATATCTTGCAGGTAGATTGTTATTATAGGTCGTAGGATTCATAACTTGGTAATATTGCTGATTATTTGTATCCTCTGGTAGCATGAGTAATACCTTCTAGCACCATGAACACTAGTCAATAGGGGTGATGCTTATAATTGAGTATCAGCTTTATTACTTTTTCTTTGTTGGATTACATAAGTGTGTGGTGTCTTCAGCAACAGGGCCTTACTCTCAGGTTGTAGTGAGTAACCAGGAGCCTTAGAAATAGCCTGTAATGTTTGCAGGGGTCTATAACCTATTCCTGATGTTGGAGGCTTTGCGTGTTAGTATAAGATATCTAGTTGGGGCATTGTCTCCCAGTATTAGTTGTCTCTTCCCATATTCCCTCCTTAAATGTGCCTCCCTCTCACTGTCCCCATTTAGTCCTCCTAATCTATTCAAATGTCTGCCTTTATTCCCTTTAAAACACTATATTTTATTTTCTCTTTTTTGGAAGATACCCTCCCCCAACCAAGTCCTTACTAGCCACCTAATAACTTTGATTATTCTAAATAAAATACACATATATAAAGCTTAAAAGCTAACTTCCACATATAAGAGAAAGTATGCAATGTTGTCTGGGTTACCTTATTAGGGATGTTTGGCTCTAGCACCATGCACATTTCAGAGTTTCATTTTTCTTAACAGCTGAATAATACTACATTGTATCAATGACCAGATTTTCATTTTGTATTCATCAGCTTATAGACAACTAGGGTGTATCCTACTCATGACTATTATAAATAAAGACACAGTGGTCATAGATCAGCAAATATCTCTGTAGTGAGATGTATAATATTTTGGGTATATGCCCAAGAGTGATATAACTGGATCTTGTGGTAGTTGCTTCATTTCTTTACTAGTATATATGGAGTTCATGTGATAGACTTAGTATAAATAATAAATGCTGTCTACTTTTTGATAGCTAAGACATGTAAAACATGGCATGTAACATGGAATGTTCTCAAATACCTTTCATTGTAAAGCAGATTTCAATGATAAGAAGTTTTAGGTTCTGGAAAGATGACTCGGTGATTAAGAACACTTCTTGTTATTGTAGAGGGCTCAAATTTAGTTCACAGCCCCAACATGGTAGATCACAAACATCTCTAATCCCAGTTCTGGGGGATTCAATGTCTTCTGGCTTCCATGGGTACTGGTATGCATGTAGTGAGCAGACATGCATGTAGACAAAACACAAATACACATAAAATAAAAAAAACAACAAAGACTTCTATTCATATAGAGCATCAGATTGCTTGGAAGTAGAGTTATAGATGGTTTTGAGCTGCCATGTTGGTTCTGTGAATTGAATCCACGTTCCCTAGAAGAACAGACAGTGCTCTTAGTTGATAAGGTATATCTCCAGGCCTATGAAAATTGATTTTAACAAAGAAAAGTTATGAACTGAGCTAACTGAAGACAGTTCATGCTCAAGAAAATCTGTATGTAGAATGGAAACAAAGTGTTCATTGTTTTCTATGTAAAGGGAGCTCAACCTTTCAAGAAATCAAAAAACAGTGATATGTTTTCCTTTCTTGCTATTATAACAGATCATTACATGAGGTTTTTTAATTCCACTGTCAGATCAACTTGGGTTTGAGTGTCATCTCAGCTACTAGCTAATTATATGTCTCTTGATTGCCTTTATTCATAAGGTAAGACTGATAGTAATAATCAATTTATGAGTTATTGTAAAGATCCAGTAAGCAAAATACAGAAAACATTGAGCCAGCAGTAGGCAATCTGTAAAGGCATTGACTCTTTCCTTGATGTACATAGTAAAACGCATGGAACTCATGATTGTCTTTAGATTTTGTGATTTGGCCTATATTTTCTAACAGCTTTGCTCTCCCTGCTTCCCTCTTTTGAACAGATTCGGAAACATATTGTGTGTTTCAAGACAAGAAGTATAGAGTGGGTGAGAAATGGCATCCCTACCTGGAACCTTACGGACTGGTTTACTGTGTGAACTGCATCTGCACAGAGGTATAATTCTTTATGAGGGAAGATTTCCTGCTACATTCCTTGGCACACAGGGAGGTAATCAGTGCTCAATTTGCCAGGGAGACTAGGGGATTAAAAGCATGAAAGATATTAGTAAACCCCCAAGTGTCATGGATCACATCCATTATCTCAGCACAGACAAGGTTCAGGGAGGAGAATAAATAGAAGGAACATTCTTGGCTACAAAGCATATTTGAGACCCGCCTTAGAGGGAGCTAGGGAAAGGGATGGGGACAAGATTGCAAGGAATATCTCTCCTGATGTTCTTCCTGTTAAAGTTTGGTTTGTTTTTCTTAAAATATCTGAATATTTACTTTAAATAGATTTCTGTAGCCTTTTAGACAACCTGTATAGGACATAGTAGGAGAAGGTAGAAGTATCAGATAGCAGGAAAATGAGTCTACCCTCTAGATGACAGTAGAGGCAAGCCCAATTGTGGCAACAAATAATGTCTTCAGACATGTTTAGTTGCCTTGATGAAAACCACAGCATTAAGCCATTTGGGAAGGAAAGCCTCAATATAATCTTTAAAAACTGAGAATTCCGAATGCATAGAATGAACTATTGTAAGGGCTTCATGTAAGTAACTCCTGTTATGTTCCCAGGCCCAGTCACTCACAGGGCCTATTCTTTTTGCCATTTGAAAAGAACTTCTGGCTTTTCAAAATTTTGCCACGTATAAAGCCCTCTTTAGGTATTATAATATCAGGTGGTATTCAGTGTTTGTGAGGTTTAGCTTTGAGGTAGACTAATTTCTAGACTCTAACGTAGGTCACCTATGATGCATGGGTTGTTGGGTAATTTACCTATAGCTTCTCTTAGATTCCTTCAGCTTCCTCTTTAACACAGGGCAACAATGTCTAGCATGTTGGAGCATACCTGTGAATCCCAGCACTCTGGAAGTTGAGTCCACTTGTCTCAAAAATAAAGACATAAATATCTTACCTATTTCATATATCATAGTAAGGATTAAATTCACTAATTCATATAAAACAATGAGTAAGAAATGCTAATTACCATTGTTATCATTACCAGTAGGGTTATCAGTGCTTTTATTAATCTCTGGTATCTAGAACAGAGTTTAGTATACAACATTAAAAGTTGAGGTTTCTTGTCCACCAGGAACAATGCTTTGTGATGTGTTTCTGAGCTCATCTTAATTTGCGAACAACTGAGTCTGAGGAGTGTTGTGCATTAAGAGCCTGTCTGCTGTTTCCAGATGCAATATTAGAAAACTTTATTCTAGAAGACACACAAGGAGAAGAAAGAGGTGTAGTAAGGTGACTCCACTCAGGATAAAAGAAGCCTGCCTCTTTAAATGAATAAGGTCTGTATTAAAAAGAGCATCTGGGAGCTGATTAACTGCCTGGTATGGCATTATTTTGTCAGATTCTGGACTCAGTACATTGGAAATGGACAGCTAGCCCTTGGAGGCCGAGGCTTTGAAGTCTCCAAGGCAGTGAAAATGTTAACATGATCCCGATGCCAGCAAATCACACACTAGCATACTCTCTCTGTGGACTTCATCACCCGCCACCCTGTAACAACCTAACAGATGAAAGTCACCCTTCCTTCAGATGAATTATGGATGGGAAATGTAAATGTAAAATATATTTCCAAAGCTTGCTTTGTTCTGGCAATGACTGAGAGCTGTCAGAGTTGGGTTCATGTATCTCTAAGTCATACAGGGACCAGGTTGCCTCATCCAGACATACTAGTTGATCAGCTCAAATTCTAGTCCTAGCTTGTTCTCAGAAGCAAATGTTGGCTGAAAAGAGAAATGAGGAGAGGAGTCACGCAGCCTACTGAATCAAGGCAGAGTTGGTTCTCGTAGAGTGCAAGGACTCGCATGCTACGGATGTCTCTGTGCACAGGGCTGGGAAGCAGCTCCCTGGGGACCTATTACTCACCACCCCTTCTCTTCCATGGCATCAGGCAGGTGGTTATGAAATCAGAATAGGCTCTTGGAAAAGTCATGCCGCTAGAACTGGGAAGGGTAGAACTATCCCAGAGCCAGGCCAGAGGAAGCCTCCCATATTTAATTGGAAGCTTTGAAAACTGGGACTGTTGAACCCAGCCTCTGACAAAGTATGCTGATATGCTTCCAACCAATCCAGCAGAGGTGCTAAGAGTGAGCAAAGGAGTTTGGTTTTTTGGTTATTTTTTTTTAAAGAAGGATGATTGCATTCAGATTCTTGGGAATGCATTATTCACTGTCTGGGTGAGTCCCTGCATGACCGTTTCCCAAACTGGCAGAATCCCAGTGACCTTTGAAAGACATTTTCTCTCTCTCTCTCTCTTTTTCTGCCTTTTCTCTTTCAGAATGGGAATGTGCTTTGCAGCCGAGTCAGATGTCCAAGTCTCCATTGCCTCTCACCCGTGCATATCCCTCATCTGTGTTGCCCCCGTTGCCCAGGTAATCCAGTCTGCCTCTCTTTCCTCAAACTGTGTGTCTCTGCTTTTCCTCTTCACCTAACCCGGGTAATCTTCCTAAATTCCCCTAGAAGGAAAACTTCCAGTCAGAAATAACAATAGAACACTTTTAGACAACTTAAGCTGGCCCCCTAAATACACTTTATAGCCCAAATGGGACACATTCTGGGTTCTAATATATTATTGGGTACCCAGTAACAGATTTTCATTAGGCTTTTAATCATTTGAAAGGGAATGAAAAAAGAAAAAGGAATTATAGCTATAAACAGCCTCTTCCTGCCCTGGGCAGTGGGTAACAGGGGGGTTGTATCATTGTGGCACGTGTCCTATACAATTAGTGCTGGAATTGCATCCAAGCATAGCTTCAAAATGATGAGAAGCTGTTCATAAATCAAAGAAACTGAACCAGTAAGGTTTATGGCAGCATAAAGCTGCCTGCCTGCTGGACAGTCACCTCCTCCACACTACACAGTTATTAGGTACACACTGTTAAGAGCAGAAATGGGGAGAGCCAGCTAGAAGCTTTTTCACATGGTCGCTCGGAAGGCTGCTTTTACAGTGTGTGCTTAGAGAACTTTTCTGAGGTATTTTGCCCCCCTCAATTACACTTTATTCTGAAATGACTGCTGCCTGGTTCCTGCACCGAAGGCCTGGAACCGTGGAGAAATTCAGAGAATGTCTGCCAGTCCAATGGCATTCCAAGGAAAAGCTATCTAACAGTCTTGAGATCTGCAAATCAAGGCCCTTCGATCTTCTAGGTTTATTCATTATGCCGTAGAACAGAATTATCAAGATGAAGGCTCCTGAGTGGACTTTAGGGAGTCAGAGAACTCTTTGAAATTATTTGAAAGCTTTCAATTTACTGTGTACTACTTTATTGATACTACTTTATAAACTATACTTTTATCTCCTAGTAAATACATTCCAAAAAACATAGTTATTTTTTTCCAAGGTGACAAAATATCACACACAAATCTATCGTTCTTGGAATCTTTGTTGATAATAGTACATGCATCTAGACACAAGGAACTGACCAATCTGAAAGTTACCTTTTAAAGTAAATTCCTACATGAGCTTGCTTTTTTTTTTTTAAATGTGTTCGTTTGTTTCTGCTTAAACTGAATTTCACAAGGCTCTGGCAAATGAGAGAATAGTATTTCTGAGTAAATGGCTACTCTGTAGATCTTTTCTTTAGTCTGCCAGATAACTAACCTACTAAATCACTATAAAACCTCTCTAAGAAGTCTCACAAAGTGGCCTAATGGTAATAGGATCTTATCTAAACCACAACTTTGTAAATCATGGATTATCAGTAGAAAAAAATTATTGACTAAAAATGGAATGTAGAGGCTAGCAGCTATTGTAACAGAAAAAGGAACGTGTTAAGAGAGTTGAGATTGTAAATACCCAGACGAAAATGTAAACTAAAATGACTTAAAAGCTAGTGTTAGAGTGCACATAAACAAGCTTTGTTTTTTCTTTCATTGCTCTTACAGTTTGCTTCTGAGAAAGTTAATATTTCTTCATTGTGCAATCTCTTTCTATGAGTAGTAGTGCTAATGTTCTCTAACCCTTACACACAAAATGTCTGATGCCATCCTTGAGAGATAATTTAACTGGGTATAAAATCTTAGGTACATACTCCTTTTCCCTCAGCATTTTGAAGTTATTTCTAAATGGCTTCCTGTCTTCTTTTGTTTATTGATAAATAATGAACTATTTAATTTTAGTTCTGTTTTAGGCCTTTTTTATCTAGAACTATTTCCTCTTTTACTATGATGAGCATACTAAAATATGTTTATGTATAACTTATGTTCCTTTAGTCTGTTTGGTACGATTGCTTTTTGCTGTTTTTTTTTATTTGTTTGGTTTTTTTTTGAAACAGCATCTCTCTACATGAGTCCTGGCTGTCCTACAACTCACTATGTAGATCAAGTTGGCCTCGAACTCACAGAGATCTACCTGTCTCTGTCTCCCAAGTACTGAGATTAAAGGTGTGCCCTATCATGCCTGGTGGTATGGTTGTTTTTCAGTCAAAGTACTTAGAAATCTATTTGTTAGTTGTCATTTTTATAAAAATAATAATTTCTCCTCTATCAGTGATTCTCAACCTCCCTAATGTTATGATCCTTTAATACAGTTCTTCTTGTTGTGGTGATCCCCAGCCATACAATTATTACGTTGCTACTTCATAACTGTAATTTTGCTACTGTTATGAATTACAATATAAATATATGACATTCAGGATATCTAATTATCTGATATGTGACCCTTGTGAGTGTCAAAACTCAAAGGTTGAACCGCCCCCATTTAATTTTTTGAGAAAAGCTTCCATCTCTCCCACACTGGCCTTCCTGGTAATCCTACCTCAACCTTTCCAGTGCTTTAAAAGTGTCTTTCATGTATATTTTCACCTCATTTAATTTGTCCTCTGTGTCTCCTAATGTCTCATTTGCTTTTGAAGTTTCCTGTCGTAGTTCTGAATTTTTCTTGTTTTCCTAGCTGATGTTTAAAAGCTTATTCTCTATGAGATTTTTTTAAATCTAGAATGAGCCCTTTATTCCTTCACTAATGATTGTATTGGCCTTTTGACAGACACTTTTAGTTCTAACCTTGGAGTTTGCTTGTCTCAGACTAGATTCCTCCTGCCTTGATATTTTGTTTCTACTTTTGTTTTAATGTGAGGTACTATTCCCTCATAATGTCCTTGAAGTGGGACCTCAACTACACCTGCCAACCTTGGATACCCAGTGTATTTTGGAGAACAACACAGTGTAGGCAGAATTATGTTGGAGCCTTTTTAGACGTGAGACAAGTGACTTTGGTCCCCAACCATGTTAGTCGCATTGTTATTGTTATGACAATAAACGTGAGAAATCCCAAATTAACTGAAAAGTAAAAGGGTTATTTCAGCTCACATTTTCAGAGGTTTCAGCCCAGAGTCATTTGGCTGTGTCACTTTTGGACTTGGGAAGGCTAGCATGATGGGAAGCATTTAGTGAAAGAAGTTGCTTATGCAGCATCAGGCAGGGCAAAGAAGAAAGAGAGATCAGAACTTCAATATTTTCTTCAAGGAAATGCCCCCCTGCCAGGATCTAATGTCTTTCCAGTAGGCCTCAGGCTCTAAAGGTTCTGCTCCATCTTAGTAGTGCAACATATTAGCACTGAAGACTTCAACATTAGGCCTTTCAGGGACAATAAAGATCCAAAGCCTAACCCCAGCATCACAAAGAAATCATACACAGACTCTAATTGCACCTTAGTTGTGTAGCTCCACCTATCTGTATGTTGTCCCAGCTGCAAGCTGACCGTTAGATTTCAAACATTACTGTACTCTACTACATTTGATTCCACAAAATATTTCACTTTATTTCTATGGATTCTTTTCCTTTAAATTTCCATTCTTTTTTTAAGCTTTGTATCATCATAGTTCTTCATTTGGAAATGAGCCGTGGGGTTTTTCACGTGTTCTCTTTGCCATATTGAACCAGAGTGCAAGCAGTTGCCTTTGTCGTTCTAGTAAGAGAAAACAAGAGCATACGATTTAAATCATAGTGGACAAGAGGGGATTTGATAAAAGGAAGAAATTTGCTATGCAGTTTTTATCTTTATTCTACTATATGGAGGTTCTTATTCTCTTTACTGAATATTTCTATAAATAAACAGTGCCTACTCATGTGAGATAGAGTGTCATAATCCTGTTTTGAGACAGGACAGTAAATTTGATAACACTTCTATACTCTTTCCACTCCAGTGTTTATTAGGAATGAAAAACGCATGCCCTCAGGGACACAGAAATTTTTGATCAAAGAAAAGGCACTACAATTAGAACTATCATATTAGCCAGCACTTATCTCCTAGAACAGAGGTTTATACACATTCGTGTTCACTGTTGTTCTATTCACTGCTTCTAGGAGTCAGCCTAGACAATTACTCGCAGATGAAAAGACAATGAAAAAGTAGTACATACCTATAATGGAATTTTATTCAGCCATAAAGGAAAACAAAATTATAGGGTATACAGGGCACTCAATGGAACTGCGAAGTAACCCAGACTCAGAAAGCTAAATGTACTATTTTCTATTTCTTATGTGTATCCTAGCTTCTAATACTTGTATATGCATATCTGCATGAGCATGAGTAAACACAGATGAAGGAAAACTAGAAATGACCCCATGAAAGAGGAAAAAGAAGCTTTTAGGGAGAGCAATGGGAAAGGTAGTCCAACACCTGTGATATGAGAAGAGAAGGGGAAATCCTATTGGGCCAAAGAATGCAAGCAGGGAGAGAAAACAGAGATCGTAGAGAAGAGTAAGGAGGGGGTGGTCCAACCAAAACCATGTGTGAAAATGACACAAGGAAAACTGTTACTTTATATATAAAAGTTAAAAATAAAATTATATAAAATCTGTAGTTATCAATGGGAAGACAGGGGAGAGAGAGAATGAGGTTGAACATGATCCATAGAGTGAAAACAGTGATCTCCATAGTGGCCAAAAGCACTGTGACAAGGGAGGACTCATGACACGCTTAGTGGAAGGGTTCTAAGTATCATGCTTAGAGAAGATAGGCTGTATATTCCCACTTGTTTTTTTTTTTTCTTTTTCTTCCCATAACTTTCTTTGTAAAGGCTTTACTCTCAAATTTCCCAAGGGTTTTACCCATGTTTGAGGTTGTACCCTGCAGCTCCTGTAAAGTACAGAAATCTGCGTATGCAGACTGATTTTCCAGAACTGCCAGCAGAAAATACACACTGACTTCCATGAAGAACAAACGAGGAGTGTTTTCTTCATTTGGTCCCATACCACCAGCCTCTGCTGTGCCTGAAGGAGCTGGCATTACCCAGAGGCTAGAACATTCTAGGAAGAATCTAAACTACCAGGAGTCATGGATGACCTCTAGGCAGGACTGTATGTGGTTCTGGAGAAGTCTATAACAACGAAATATTAGGGTGAAGAAGTAGTAAAGAAAGAACAGGAAAAA